GTTAGAGTAGCTTTTCTCGTTATCCCTTGTTTCTTATATGATATTCTAAAATTTGTTCTGTAAATACATTTTAAAAGTGATTATAGATCAATCTATTTCTTTTATGATCTATTTTATTGAAGGGTTTCAAAAGCACATATTTCTAGTTTTTAGAATTCAAAATCAGCTTTGAGAAAAGTCGATTACCAAAATGCCTTACGATGAACTATAGATTCTAATTTTATTAAATAAAAAACTAATTTGGTAAATGAACTTTAAAATTAGATTATTAAAATAATAAAAAATATTAAAAACACAAAATACATAAACGAGCCAACAGAGTTTTCAAAAAATATTTTCTAGTGAGTTCAATAACATCGCCAACACTATTGGGATCGCCTATCGGTGATCTACACAATTGTGTTGATGTTGTTTAAATAGGATCATATCAGAGGGTATCACGCTAAATTGTAGAATCCAAGTGCCATAAACCTTCTGATATCACCCTTGGGTCAGATTTGATTTGATTTAAGAAATTTTGACATGAATGCAAATCCAAAATAAAACGAAAATGTCTGAACACAACCCATCGTCTGGCCTACAACGAGAATAATACGAAATGTGGTATCGTTGAATCATGATTGTGAGGACAAAAATATTTTATTAATAAAGTATTTAACTTCACAATGACACCCATGTGATGTGATGGACTGATTGACAACCGATTGGTTAAGTTCTATCATTTTTCAGCCTAGAAGTATCGAAGATCCACATACAGCCTCATTTTCTTAATTTGGTATTGGTACCTCTCCATATAATAATTGAGTTGAGTATTGAACCCTGGTTACATATATAATTAGACAATTAAGTTAGAAGCGTGAATAACAACATCTAGGTGTCATTTTAATAATAGAATTAGGTCACAAAAAGTTAGATAATTTATTATGATAAGGATAGCCAAACCATAAGTCCAACTTAACCGGTTACCCTTTTTCTAACTAATTGATTAATTTTGTTGATTTTTATCATTTACTTATGAGTTAACGAAACTTTTTTCAACTCAAATAATGATTTAATGATTTTTTTATCCACACACTTTTAAAATACCACTTTATTATTCAAATTTATATTTCGATAACGAATAAAGAATAAACTTAGTCCAAACTGTTTGAGTTTTTAAAGATAGTAAATTAATAAGCCTTTTAGTGATAAAATGTTAGATTTTGATAGTTAAAATTAATCAAAATTTAATTTGAGAGGGGTGGTTACATCAACCCTTATCGCTCAATTATTGACGATTAGCGGGATCGACAAGAGTAATGTTTAAGGGGTTTTAATGAGTGATAATCGAGGAAAAGAATAGTAGTGATGTGGAGTTGCAATGATGCTGAAATTGAAAGTAGAATATATATTTAGATAATAAAATGATATTTTTAAAGTCTGTCGATAGAAAAGTATCATTAAACCATTATTTTGGTGGAAAAAAGTAGTTTACTCTTTACATATAAATCATTTTGATATTGTCCAAATTATACAAGTTTGAATTTTGCCCAACTAATCGACCGGGAATTAACTCTTTTCTGCTTTGGCTCTGGCAACTGTTACTGTTTTCAGAAACCAGTTTATATCATTAAAATGTTTTCACTTTTAATAAAGAGCAAACTGGGTGAAACCAACAACCAGTCAACCAATATGATTTGGAAGTCAGTAGTTGAAGTCTTTGGTGATGATATAGCAGAAGATAAGTATTACAAAAGAATGAAAATGGTGAATAGGACTCAATAATTTAGCAGTGAATCAAATCATCATTGATGCTAACATCACCAACATTATTTACTACAGATCTTGCTTATACTATACGTAGCTTCCACCCCTACCACTACTCTTAATCAATGTAGGTTGAGTTTCATCGCTACTTTTATTATCAATTCATTGATTCAGGAAGTGCTTTCCGGAGCTTCCTCCTGGAATCTGGATCTCATCAAGTTATGTTTTATTGAAGAAGATTCTTACCAGGAACATATTTTTCCAGGTTTCAGATCCTTCTACTTCTCTAAAGTGTTTTGTTCAATCACATTTTCTTAGAGTTACTTCCGGGAATGATTGAATTTTTGTTTTCTTCATTGTATGAAAACATGATTTCCGGAGAAGATGATGTTAAAAATGCTGTGTTGCCTATACTGAAACTCCTTTCAATTACACTGTTTGGTTTAATTCTTTCCCACCCGAAAGTCCACTCATCCCAAAGCCACTTTCAAGACACTCAGCAAGCTTTTATTTGTTCTCTCTTGCCTTGCTTGATATTCATTCACCTCGGTCAATCCGTTACTCTTGACAATATTATCCACTGTGGTTCATTCCTGTAAACGTTGTTGTTAGTACAGCCATTGGTTGCATATTGGGCGTTTTGGTGACGCTAATATGCCGACCGCCGCCGCAATTCTTCCGGTTTACAATCATCATGACCGCTTTTGGAAACACCGGGAACATTCCTCTTGCTGTTGTTTCGTCAGTTTGCCACAACACGGATAATCCTTTTGGTATTGATGTTATAGTGCTGGAGTTGCATATGCATCTTTTTCTCAGTGGGTTTCAGTCATTCTTGTCTGCACTCTTGTTTACCACATGATGGAACCTCCAATGGAGTATTATGAGATTGTGGAAGAAGAATATCAAATCAGTGAATTGAGGAGTACCAATTGTATGAGGATCTCAGTAGGCCACTCTTGTTGAAGCAGAGTGGCCAGAATGGAGGACAAGGAAACTGAGCATTGCAAGACACTTTTATTGCAGGCTGTTTAATAACATTTCAGGCTCTCAAATCCAGCAATTCTGATTTTGAGTCCCCGCCGGAGGAGGGAGGTTCCGCCGGTCCAAAGTCTCTCAGGTGCTTGGCTAGCCTAGAATGGTTAGAAAGATTAGAATTGTCGCTGAACATACACCAATTCGCCACATTCTTCAGCCCCCCATTTTCGGTTCTCTAGTAGCAATTGCTGTTGGGATTATTCCTGGACTAAAATCCATTGTATTTGGCAGTGATGCTGCACTAAAGTTATCACAGACAGTTTAGACATTATGGCTGAGGCTGCAGTGCCTTCAGCTAGGCTCATTATCGGAGGAATGTTAACAGAAGGTCCAGAAGAATCGAGACTCGGGCTTAGAACTACAATTGGTATTATTGTTGCAAGGCTTTTTGTTCTTCCTGTGATTGGAATTGGAGTCATCTGTTTGGCCGATAAGTGGAACTTTTGGTCACGGGGATGAATTGTATCGGTTCGTGATATTCTGCAATACACAACACCAAGTGCCATTTTGATAGGTGCATTGCCAGCTTGAGGGGCTATGCGTTAGTGAAGCTTCAGCACTCCTCTCTGGCAGCATGTTTTTGCCATGTTCTCTCTTGCATTATCTTAATCATCTACTTCAAATTTTTTCTAGTCTATGGCTAAGGTGTGTCCATAAATCTTTCTGCTTATTTCATTTCAATTTTCAAGTTCACACAATATTCATTAGTCATCATCAGGAGGCCAGCCCGGACATCTTCTGGGCTATATTCCGATTCATGTGCTGCAGTGAGAAAATCAGAAGGATAGCAAAACTTGCGGTTGAAATGATGGGGATAAAGATGCTTTCACAAGGTACAAAATCATACTGGCAACAAAAAGTAGGAAGATTTTGAGGGCTACTTTTGTCATAAATGGAATGAAAAAAATTTGTGAATTCTATCAGATGATTGATTGATTGATTGATTGCTCTGCCCTATCTTTTTCTTTTTTTAATTCTTCAGCTTTCTTATAATTATTTTGGCGCATATGATGGTTCTGATAAGTCAATGCTGTATCAATTTGCTTTAGTGCAGTCTAAATGTACATCTTCAACTAACAGCAATCCCTATGCTCTTTTACTTTCTGAAAGAACTCTTTAAGCAAAAGTGGGTTGAGTTTAACACAGGAAGAGGACAATTGACTCATAAAGTTGGTAGATTTTACATACTGTACTGGGAACAAATTTAGCATCAGAAGAGATATGACACATCCCTATGTTCTTTCTCATTTTGCCACAAAGGGGTGTTTTTATTTGTTAAAATAATGAGAGCTTTGTGAGCCACTCAGAAACATCATAAACTTACTTTGCTTAGAACAACATTATTAAAAGAACAACAAAGAATTTAAATCCATCCAACTATAGCACTTAACCCAACCAATCCATTACGTTTGCCACATACAGTTGATTGATCTTTAAAAAGTTTGGTTATCGTTCTTAACTTCTTTTCCCACGAAGGTAAACTCTTTGTTGCCAAGAAAACTGACAAGACTCAACGGCGTTGCATCTTTTGACACAATTGAAATATGAGACATGAAAATCCTACAAATAGTTGATAATAGCAACATTCTGATACTTTGCATCAGATGGCAAACACCATTCTGTATCAAGACCTATCACAATTTTGTGAAGTCTATGCCGATGAATGTAGACTACTTCTTTTATCCAATTATTAACCATTGAGAAAGTACCGTGATTCAATTGTATAATTCGCAAAGGCATTTGGGACATCTGGAAATCCAGACTCCAGAGGCATTTGCAAATTGATAGTACAAAACTTGCAACCCAGACTCCATGGAGTCCCATTAAGAATGGGGAATATTAAGTATTTTTACAGTATAAGTTGATACAGAAATAATCCAATTTCTGAAATAACTTACAACAAAATCTTTTGAAAAATATTTAGTAACAAAAAGAAAAAGTTTTGACATAACAATCCTAGGAACCGATCAGATAGAATATTTTTGAAGTGTGTTCACTCATAAATTAAAATAAAAGAGAGCTTCTATCTTTTCAAATGAATAAAAAGGCTAAAATAGATCATAGATGTTAAACATTTACATATACTGCAACTTGTCTAATACAAAATTGGAATTAGGGGAAACAGAAACTTAAAGCCAATTCTGTAGCCCTCTGCTGCAACTGTAACTACAGCAGTCTTCTATCACAAGAGAATCCAAGAACAACGGAAACAAAGAAGACATGAATTTTATGTTCTCCTTCATAAATTTAAAACCAGAAACTTCATTCAAAAGTTACAAAATATATAAATAAGAACTCTCCAATGATGCAAATTAACTTAGAGGTCACTCTCTCATACCATCATCCCCCATTTCCTCATCACTTAAGTCGAGATCAGCAAGAAGTTCTTCCAGAGGAACAGAAGGAACATCCCCACCATCAGTTACAGATGCCATCTCTGATGGTTGGTAATCTCTATTACGATACAATGACATATTGAATCTCAACTCAGGATTCTCTTCCAAATCTCTCAAGAACTCTTCATACTCGTTGTTTGCCTTCTCTTGGTCACCTCTACCTCTACTGTTATCCACTTCCATGTCCAGGGACTTGAGCTTCCAAGGACGAGGCTTGCCACGCTTTCTCTGGCGCTTCTCTTCATAGCTCTTCTTTATCAAAATTGTCTCCGGTAGTACAAGACCTTTGTATTTGTCCAGTTCAATATCATTGTTGTTAGCCCCATAGAGGTCATAACCGAGAGCATAGTCCCCTGGGTTCAAAAGATGGCCTAGATGTGTTCTTATGGAAAAAATGGTATCATTCTTCCCAAAATCTGATAAACGAGCTACTTGGGCATCAGCCAAAACACACTTTGAGCCACCAACATTAACTTCAGAAGAGACAGGCTCTACATCTAAAACAATATATTCCACAAGCTGTCGGCTAGTGAGCAAAGATTTAAAGGACGATCTCCAATACTGATCAGCATCCAAGAAACAATGCCTCAGAGTAATCGGATCAAGTAGAGCAATGCTATTTGTCACTTTTGTGCAGATAACCAGAGGACCAAGATTCCCCAAACTAACAGCAACTTTTGGAGGCAGACAGATCAAATCCTCGCGACAAATGGGACTGATCTCAACTGAGAAAGTATACTTATAATTGTAGTTGTTGCTCTTAGCATCATGGGAAACAAGTTGTTTGTCGTGGCGGCTCCTTACTGGAGCAACTTTTCCCACAAATTCAACAAATTTAACAGCATGACTTCTATTACCAAAGAAAAAATCAATTCCCTAATCCATTTGCTTTATTTTAATAGCTCGTGTAGCAGCATCATGTTTCAGAATAAGCTGCTCCAAAAAGAAAAAAGTTCGCCTGTGAGAGACATGTTGTCGTAGCTGTACAGCCGCAACCCATTGATCAGGGTTGGCCGCAACCCTTGTACAAGATTCACACATTTGATCTTGCTGATGATACTCAACAACATAAGATTGTTCAAGAATCGCTCCATTAAGAACTTCCTTCTGAACCGTCAGCTTGACCTTGATTCTCTTGGAATGAGGTTCAGTCCATATAAATTCAGCATGTATTAACCTAGCTCCATTCAGATTCTTGAGTCTCTTCACACAAATAGTCAACAGCTCCTTAGATTCTAATTGGGCTTTTATCCAAGTTTTTGGAGGTTGCAAGTAGCAATCACACTCGGGGCAATGCTTAAGGTCCACCTTCTTCTGTAAGCCTTCTGTGATGTCAACTTCAGAACGCAAACATGTGACGCACATATTGGCAGCATTTGGTACCATCGGCACACCACATTTGCAGCACAAAACACTCCCAATGGTTTGTGGAACCACAAACATCCCTGCATCCTGGGACATGTCTAACACTAAAAATAAAGAAAGAAATATTTCAGTTATTCACGTCTGAAGAACCAAAAACACTAAAATAATATTTATATATGTGTCATCAATGATGAGGTATTCCACTCTATATAATCTCCTAAAATATTTCCAGAAAAGGATAGATTACTTCGACACGAAATTGCTGGTGGTTCCATGAAGATGAACTAACATGTAATACAGCTCTAACATATCAAATTCTAATTCCATATAACTTTACACCATTAGTTTGTAACATTTCAACCAAATCCAAATCACACAACACTCTCTCATTATCCATAACAGTTTTCAAGCATCAGTTTCAATAAGAACTTTCCCACACCAGATCATTCAACTAGAAACACATATCACAGAAAATTCAAAGCTGTAGCAAGTCCACCCAAAAAAAAAAAAAAAGAAAGAAAGAAAGCTAGATTTTAAATTTAAAAAAAAAAAAAATCTAACTTTTATAATTAAATTTCACAAACAGGGAGCAAAACATATGAAACTTGAGACATAACCCAGAAGGATTCGAATGATTATAAAACAAGAATTGCCAAAAGCAAAGAGGAGATGATAAAAACAAAACAAACAAAATACCTGATTTGATATTGAAAGAGATATTTGGAAAAACAGAAACAAGGGAGACACAATTCGGCTCTTACACAACTATAAACCCTAAGCCGGTTCCGGTTCGGATATTTGGGTCGAGTTTGGGTTTACGCCTTTGCTTCAAATGAAATGAAGAGACTTCATATAAATACCCATTCTTAAAGTCAGGCGGTTAGGGTTAGGGATATTAGTATATTACAACCGGGTAGATTTTCTAAGCAATAGTAGGAAAAGAATTTGATCACCCTGTAGTTTTTGTCTATCAACTCCAGATCCCACCATTTTGAAGACTATAATTTACGCCCTTGATTTAACATACGCTGTTAACTTGTAAGAGTCTGAGAGTCTCTAATGAGTAAGGACGAGAATGCCCTTCGTTTGATGTTGACCGGAATGAAATACTAAAAGAGAATCGCCCACAAAGAACGGACATGGTTTGAGAAAACAAATTACTCACTCACTAGAACATAAAGCCAGAGGTCATGATTAGACTTGGCAAACCGGCGGGTGCGAGTTGGGTGTGGACGGGTACGGGTCAATAGTTGGTATAAATCTTTTTGGTTCTTAAAATAAACAGTTTAAGAAGGTCCAATTGAAACGACGGATTCATTGGATTTTCTATTATACAACAAGTGTTTTTTTTAGTGAAAAAGTTTTTTAAAGAAAAAAAATGAATACTACAGGACTAAGGGGCCACCAATAATTTTTGACTTTTTATCTATATTATCTATGTTTTTAATGTTTTTATCTGAGAATTTCTTTTATTTTTATCCAATTTTTTCATTTAATTGTTTTTTTTTTTAAATGTTACGACTTGATTAGAAATTCTTTTTTTAGGTTTCTTGCTAGTTTAATATTTTAATTATTCGGGATTGCTAACTCAACAATAAAGTACTCAACTTTTAACTGCGACTCGTATCTTTTACACATTTTTATGATACCCATACTCAGTTATGTAGGTACGGGTGGACCCGTGGGTCACTCGTTTCCCAAATCTGTAGTCACTTTTTAATTTTTATGCACAGTTTGATCATTAAGACACGAAAAACAGCAGGAGATGGCACTGATAAAAACTATAAGATAAAAAGAGAAGCTTGTTTATTATTTTGATACGTTCATTTAACTTGAACTGATGCCCTCTTGATACAAACATGAAAACAGTACATGATCTACAAATCTACTCAAAATGCTTCATTTGTTTTCCATGCCTTATGCGATTGCTTAAAAGTTTTAATGATTGTTCAACAGGAAAAACTTGAAGAACAAGCAAAACTGTGGACTGGAAGCTGGAAAAGGGTGACCACGAGAATGCATCATAGGGGTCAGAAATGGCAGAAAATAATGGAAAATTAGCAAAAGCATGGCAAGAGTTTATATCTGTTAAGTTTCAAAGTACATTGAGATGTATATGTATTCTTGTATAAGATTACACTCATCTATTATATAACTTTTTACCGCTAAGGTATGTTACCATTTCTCAAATTAAAAACGACTTTGTCAGTACCAAATTATGCTTAATGATTGGTCCACGAGATCAGAAAGCTTGTTTTGTAGACTTTCATCACTGCCACTGGCATTTGAAATAGAACTCCGATATCAAGAAATCAAAAACTCGTGCCCAGAACAGCAGCTATCATGGCCTTATCCTCATCATTCCACAAACTGCGTCCCATATTAAACTCAAATTTCATATTTAAAATTTTAAGTAGCCAGATCAAATAGAGGAAATTTAACTGATACGCCTTCCTAACTTTCGATTTGAGAATATAACCTTGAAAAGGTTTTTTATTTTATTTTTTTGGGTTAAAAAATATAACGTGACGCACTTAAGTGTAATTAAAGCAGCAAAAAAGATTAAGGTGAAAAGATTTAAACATTTGTGGGTTAGAGCATAATAAAGAGAAGTTGATTTAAAATTTGAAAGGCAAAACACATTTCTCTCAGCTTCTCTTTCTCAAAACAGGATTCAAACACCTTCCTCTCTCTCGTTTTTTCTTCCAATTTTTTGCAATTTCTTAATTTCTTTGCTCTTTGCATTTTTGTCATTCCTTGCAATTCTCGGTTAAGCTATAATGGCTGAGATCCTCAAAGAAACAGAAAAAAACTCATCCACTCCCCAAATTGTAGGCACCACTAAGTCTACCAAAAATGGAGAAGAAAAAGTTGTGGTGGAGCAACTTCCGATGACTAAAGTTGCTCCACTAGGAGAGAAGACGGCACCGATAGAAGACATTCTGCTGGTGGAACAAGGGAAGGCAGGAGTTGAAATTGAAACTGAAGAGGAGGACGTCAACGCAAATTCCAACGAGGAGGTGGAAGAAGATGAAATTATTGATTGTTGGTGCTAATTTGGGGATATTTGGTTGGTGTTTGTTGTTAGGTCATTGTTGCATTTTGTCAACTAGTTGGAGGGCATCAGAAGAGTGGGTGTTTTAGGCTTCCAGAGGACCGGGGAAGCCAAGGGAGGCCATAGGGAGGTTGTTTGTGGTAGTGATGTGTTGTTCTTCAAATGGGAGGGAGCTTGAGCCGGAAGATGGTGTAGTGATGATCTTGTCGTCACTGTAATTGACCATGGTCCCTGGTGCCATAAAAATCATGGTGGTATCAAGCGTCGAACATGATCGCTTAAGCGACCAAGAGTAAAAGCGAATAATTGCTTAAGCGATCGTGCATCTGGGCAAAAGTTGATTCCTCCTCGAACATGGTCGCTTAAGCTATTATTAAAAGCAAAGGATCGCTTAAGCGATATAATAAATTGCTTAAGCGATCGTGCGTCTGAGCACTTATTTATTGTCTTGTTCGTGATCGCTTAAGTGACCAACAGTAAAAGCGAGCAGAAGTTTATCCTGCCTCGGACATGATCGCTTAAGCGACCAAGGTTAAAAGCAACGGATCGCTTAAGCGATCGTGCGTCTGAGCACTTATTGATTCTATCTTATTCGTGATTGCTTAAGCGACCAAGTGTAAAAGTGTAGAATCGCTTAAGCGATAACATAAATACAACCAGATCTCTTAAGCGACTAAGTCTAAATACAAAGGATCGCTTACGCGATAAATGAAATCTCTTAAGCGATCTAGTGCATTCGGATTATTTTTATTGTATTCACTAGATCAGTTAAGCGATTAACTCTATCTTAGACATATAAGGTGTACGATTCATTCAGTGGACCATGACCGTTATTATATTTTAATTAAATTAGTTCTTTTACGGCTATATTAAACATATATAGTGTAGAATGTTTACGTCTATATTAAATATATCAGGTATACGATTCGTTCAGTGAACCATGACCGTTATTATATTTTAATTAAATTGGTTCTTTTACGGCTATATTAAACATATATGGTGTATAATGTTTATGTCTATATTAAACATATTAGGTGTACGATTCGTTTAGTGGACCATGACCGTTATTATATTTTAATTAAATTACTTCTTTTACATCTATATTAAACATATGTCCATAAACATGGAAAATAAATATTTAAGTAAATTACCTTTAATCGCTTAAGCAATTCTGTCTATTTAGCCTTGGTCTACAGAGTGCAGAGCAGATGGTTGCAGAGTTAAATTTTATATCAATATTATATTTTTTATATATTACTTTCTTGCCAAGAACTAACAAAAATAATAGAATAACAATAGATCTTTCAGTTTTATGTACGGTGTTGATCGACAAATACCGAAGTGCTCTTTTCACATTCTATTGAAATGAAAAAAATAATTAATAACAATAAATAATTAATAATTAATAAAAAAGGACTAAATATTAAATAAATATTACGAAATATAATTTCTCACTCAAACGTTCACAATATCAAAAGATTGAGGAGAAAAGAAGCAAATTGGCCTTGGTCGCTTAAGTGATCACAGCTTATCTATACTAGATCACTTAAGCGAGAGCTGACATCGCTTAAGTGATTGTGTATTTGAGAAGGATTATTCTAAGTACAAAAGCAAATTACCTTTGATCGCTTAAGCAATGTCAGCTCTCGCTTAAGCGATCTTATACAAAAAAGTTGTGATCGCTTAAGCAACAGCCTACGTCGCTTAAGCGACCAAGGCCAATTTTGTTTGTATTTTACTATTCCTTCTCAAATTCAAGATCGCTTAAGCAGTGTCAGTTCTTGCTTAAGCGATCCTATATAGATAAACCGTGATCGCTTAAGCGATAGTCGATGTCGCTTAAGCGACCAAGGCCAATTTTCTTTGTACTTGTCTATTCCTTCTCAAATTCAAGATCGCTTAAGCGATGTTAGCTCTTGCTTAAGTGATCCTGTAAGATAAGTTGTGATCGCTTAAGCGATAGCTGACGTCACTTAAGCAACCAAGGCCAATTTTATTTGTACTTGACATTTCCTTCTCAAATTCATAAAAATTAGCTTAAGTGATGTCATCACTCGCTTAAGCGATTTTGTATTGATAACATCTCAATATTGAATGAATTTATATGCACAATAACGTCTCAATATTGAATGAATTTAGTAGCACAATAAAAGCAACAATTAAGTAACTAGAAGCATCCTTACTATCATTTATTCAAAACTTCAAACAAAAATATATCCAATTGTCAACATAAAAAGTTGAAAACAACAAAGCATTCATAACAAGTCCATGAGACCAAAAAGGGAATCTCATAAAATACTCACCAAAACTATAAAAATTGTTTTATGATTCACTAATAAGTCTTCAACGGTTGGCTTTGGCAACTCTCTCGATTTCATCCTTCTTCTTGATGGCATAGCTGAAAATACAAGGACATAAAATCAGTTTAATGCACCACAAAAGATTGACATACAACCAAGAGAAACTAGTGAACAAGTAACGAAACAACATCTAGCCACTCACCAAAATATTCAACACCCAAAACAACATCTCATGTCTAATAATAGCCAAGTACCTATAATGCAAGGAAAAAAAATTATTAACCAATATATTAAGGGTTGACAGATTTTAAAAAGCATCTGGAGAGTAGCTTAAGCGATCTGGTGTATCGCTTAAGCGATCTGGTATATCGCTTAATGCATCGCTTAAGCGATCTAGTACAAATAAGCCTGATCGCTTAAGCGATATGTTGCCATATACCTGATCGCTTAAGTGATCTGTTGCCATATACCTGATCGCTTAAGCGATCTGCTACTATATACCAGACTTAAACTAGATCGCTTAAGAGATCTTCTGTCAT